TTCTTCGGCCTATCGAAGACTCTCTGCCATGCCCTCATCGACGTATGGCTGATGCATTTCCGGAGTCGTCTTCAAGCAGCAATGGGTGCACTTCCCAACTGCCAAGGATCTTGCCGAGATGGCCGAGGAGTTTTGAGCTGTCAAGGGAGTACCTGCTGTGGTGGGGGCTATAGATGGGACACACATCCACATCAAAGGAATGGAAGGGCACAGGCAGGATTACTATACGAGGAAGTCGGCATACGCCGTCCAACTGCAGCTCACATGCGATGCGCGTGGAATTCATATGGGATTACCTGATTGGGTACCCAGGATGTGCACACGACCAAACGGGTGTTCATGAACAGTGCATTACAAGAGAGGTTTGCACAACGGCGACATAGCGCCTTATCAAATCGTGGGAGATGCAGCCTACCCACTCAGAGATTTCTGCCTGACCCCCCTACATGCACCCTGTAAGGGCCTAATGGAAGACGGGGCGCAGTGCTTCAACTACTGCCAAAGCGCAATGCGCATGGCAGTAGAGCGCTGCATCGGTGCCTTCAAGGGCAGATGGCGACTATTTGCGGCTTGCAACTACTGCCAGCTGTGGCGCGTGCTGGCGGGTGCGTCTTGTTGCGTAAACTTGCCACAGCATGTGCGAAACAATGGGGCAGGTGAGGGGGGTCAATGAGGTGTGGGCCTCACTGCCCCGGAACCATGACCCATGGTGGATAAGAGGCGCTGGTGGCGGAATTCAAGTGGGAAGCCATGTGTCCCTCTGACGCAAGCAACCCTCAAGGATAGGCGCAAGCGGCTAGGTGAGGGTTGGAGGCGTCTTACCTTACTCAGCATCACCGCAAACCCACACTTCCTCGGCCTCATCCGGGTTAGCCTCAGCGTCGCCAGTCTGCCCGCGACGGAACCATCTGTCGTCGCCGCCATTGGTGGCGTTCGAGGTTGTCTGGGGGGGGGGGGCGTCCGCGGCCACGCCGTTGCGGGCAGGCGGAGCGGGCGCAGGCTGATGGAGGCGTTCGCACGCAATTCGCTCGTCCTGCTACATCCAGGCGCGGACAAGCCCTTCAAGCTTGCACATCGCGTCATCGTAGCAGCCCTTGATCGTCTCACAGAAGAGCTTCGTGGCCGTCTCCGCTACGCGCGGGCGCTTGGAGGGCGAGGTGCACTGCGGAGGAGGGGCTGTGGACGCAAGGAATGACAGGGGCGTTTGGTTAGGACGCATGTGAGTACGGTATGGTCAGCTATGTCTAATTGTCTATTGCGTACTACGAACCAACCATCACAAGTTTAAATGGGGAGCTGCAGAAGCAATGTCAATGTCACAATATCAGATCAGGCGAAATAAGGCACGGTTCACGCACCCGTGAAGGTCGGTGTAGACGTAGTGGCGCCGACGTAGAAGGCACCGTGAAGCTGCACGGCGCGTTAACGTTCGTTGCACCGCCGGCTGCCACTGCATGCGGGTTGGCGACGGCCCTGATGTTCTGGAACAGCTCCATGTACGAGAACCACGGGGGCTTGCACACTGTACCCTTGCCCGACGCCTTTTCCGCCTTCTTCGGCTGCTTGTAGACCTGGACGAGGTTGCGCCACTGTTTCTGGATGGCGTTGACGCCACGAACCCACCCCAGGTTCTCCTTCTCCAGGTGAGCCACAAGGCGCGCCCAATACTGGGAGCCCTGTTTCACGAGGAGGGACTCGAGTTCGTCCTTCATGAACCAGCGGGCCGCGATGAAGATGGTGTTCTCCAGCGGGGATCAGACGCTGCGCTTCACAGGTATCTGGTTGCGGGTCTTTGGAGCGCGGCGCAGAGGTTTGCCACCCTTAGAGGCGGTGGCAACACGGGCTGCGGGTTTAGCACGGCTGGCACGCGTGGTCGGAGCTGCGGGCTGAGTTTCTTCCGGTGCGTCAGCATCATCCTCGGACTTGTCGCCCTCGCCGTCGTCTTCAGAGTCGGACATTCCCTTGTCCGGCTCCTCCCCTGAGTCCGCCTCGTCGTCGGTGCCGACAGCGTACTCATTGTAGTCGCTGTCGTCATCGTCGTCGTTGTCATGCGCGTAGTTGTCGACGACGCGCGAGGACGCAGCCCTGACGGCGTCCCGACGCCCGCGCGTGGGCATGTCACACGACGCTTCGTACGAGGTGGCTCCAGGAGACGGTAATCCTTCAGGCAGCGGGCCGGCGGGCTTGCGCCTCGCCGCAATCTGCTTGTTGATCCAGGCGATGTACGGGATCTCATTGAGGTCCCGCGGGACGTCGGTGTCAGCGTCAGCTGCTGTCTTGCGCTTCCTAGCCATGGCTGCCAGAGAGAGAAGTTCTGGAGATATGGGAGAGAACAGGTGAGAGTAGATCTGGACAGGAGACGGAAAAGAGTTTGATGTGGGTGAGCTCTTGGAAGGGTCCGGAAGTTGGGGTTTGCTTGACGGGCAGGATGGCGTTGCCTGCTATCGTGGAAACCACTCGACTGGATACACAGGCAGGGCGGTTGCTTTTCCCGCCCGAAACTGTCACACCCTCGAGCGTCCAGATGCATGCGTGTGAGCTGCAGTAAAGCTCGACATTTCGACACGCGTGCGACTTTCAATGTGTGACGGGGCGTCGTACAACTTGTCCGCGATAATACCCCAATTCACGTTGTCCAATGATAAATACAGTAAAAGTCGCACTAGTGCAGTCCGCGTTTCTGACATTGTACGTTATATGCTGATTTTGGGTGTCACAAACGGTTTTGAGACACAAGTGTCTACACAGGAATGTACCCTAAGTCAAAATGTGACCATTGAGGCTCGAAAAACAAAATTCGACCCTCTCCGAGCCGCGAGTATACCAAGTAGGTTACCCAATGTAGCCTACGTGGCTCTGGCGTCGTCCTCGAAATGTTTAGTGTAGAGGTCGTCACGCTTCGCCAAGTTCGTGCGGCAGCTGAACTGAGCAGAAATGACCACGTTCGAAAGCATGCTTCGAATGCACGTTCGAACACGCGGTCGACTGACTCTTTGGTTACGTGACTTACCAGGTCAATATTTGAACATCAATTTGGTAATCTGCGACATTCACGAGGTCAGTAACCATATCAAGTTCGAACCGTTTTTCGAACTTAGACTCAAAAGCACCGCGCCCTTAGGCAGGCCCTAAGATTCATTCTAGGCTACCCTGATGCATCAGGGCTGTTTAGTCGAAAAGCAACCTTTGCCCTGATTCATCAGGGCTACAAAGGGAAAGATGCCCTAATTTGGCAGTGGTGTTGTGGAATATATACTAAAAAACCAGGATATATACCATCGCAACACATTATGGTCTAGTGACTAATTCGTCTTGTAGCACACAGGAGGTCGCCGGCTCGATTCCCGCTTGCTCCTAGCCCCCGTCCCCTGCTTCAGCGAAGCTAATGTCAGTGGTTGGGTACACTAGGCCCGAAGTTTTTTCACGCAGCACATGCCTCTTTAGTGTGAGATTGTAAGGAATTTTCTCGATATTCCTTAGCGCGCCCTGCAACATCGTGTACAGCAGCAGCCGTTGTTTGCCCGTTACTGCTAACGGGGCTTCGCCGACTTCGCGCGCACTATTTTCCCAAACCTCGCACTGCTGGACCGGCCGTGTCGGCCTACGCTTCGGGACTAGCCCGAGCCTCGCTTCCAGCATAGCACTAGCTAGCTCGCACGCACCGCGTTACCGTTTGCATGTTTCGCGTATAAATGTTCGCTCATGCCTTCGCTCACATTTTGTACTCGTTTGTCACCTTGGTGCAATTCTCGCTACTTCGATTCATTGCACCCTTAGCACTTGGTATTCAGAGCCTCTTTCTTTTCGGACCACGCATCTCCGCACCCCACGAAATCAACTTTTGATTTTTCACTCGAAGGGACTCACGCACCTTAGCCCCTAGGAGCCGCTGTCCTCGTGTTCTCTCGAAAACGCGTGCAGCCACGACTGTGCCTAGACTAAGAAGAGCCGACGCCCTTCGGAATGGCTGGACGCATTGACGTCACTAGCCTCACGCAGGACCGCCTGGACGAGCTGCTGCGACAACTGCACGAAAGCTCCGAGGAAATCGCAGCATTAATGGCGGAACGCACCTCCCTGCAAAACAACCTCGCACGAGCACAATCCCAAGCACCTGGCACTCCGATTCAGCCTGCACCACAGACATTGCATCACGGAAGTGTGGGGCAACCTGCGAGCGCCGCAAGTGATGGCGTCGTCCGCCATGACGGAGACAACGACCACGGCACGACACACCCAGACGCGACGAATGCGGCCCGGAATCAACCTCGAGTCATGATCTCCGTGCCGGCCGGCGAATCAACCCTACCGTCGCCGATGCCGCTGAAGCCGCAACATCCGCCATGTTTCGATCCAAGTCAGCGGGGTGGTCCTACCGTTCATGCGTGGCTCTTCACGTTGAACGTTTTCTTCGACGCGAACTACGTCTCGGAGGATACGGCGAAGATTCGTTACGCTGTGTCGTTGCTGTGAGGACCCGCCATGGACTGGTGGCGTGTCATCGTCACGAAGCCGGTGGACTACGCGACTCTACCGACACGGGAAGGACAAACCGGACCCTAGGCGCCGTCGTATTTCGTGGAGGTGCCCCAGTATCGCACGTGGGACGCGTGGTGCGTAGGTCTGCGCACTCGTTTCGAGCCAATTGCGCCTTCGATCGCGGCGCGACAGAGGCTCCACACTTGGCGCCAACTCGGTTCCGTCCAAGACTACACAAGCGGGTTTCTGGCGCTATGCGAGCAGGTGGGATACATGCATGAGAGCGAGCGCATCGACCGCTACATCGGCGGCCTGAAGCAGGACATCGCTCAGGAAATCCAGCTTCGCGGCGTCACCGATTTTCAGGAGATTCTCGCCATGGCGGAGAAACTCGATTTCTTCCGCCAACCGAGACCGGGGTCCTACGGAAGCAGCAATTCGGGACATCGGCCTCGTGGGACGAACGAGGGTGCTACGATACGTGCCATCACCGCAAATGTCGCTGCCGCACCGTTCAAAGGGCGCTGCTTTGCGTGCTACCGGCCGGGACACCGCAAGAGCAAATGCCTGGAAAACGATAAGGGAAAGGGGGAAGCTGACCAGCAGAAACAGACCAAGCAGCAGGGAAACGCTGGGAGTCAGTAGCAGACGGGCCCTCTACTGACAGGTCACGCCGCTCGCCCGACCCAACCGACCCTCACCGAGTGATTGTGCCGGTTCACGCAAACGACCACACCCGGCCGAATAAGGAGGGTACCACGGTAGACAGCCCTATACTGCTTAGTGGGAAATTTTGGATGGACTTCGTTAAAATCTTCGTAGACGGAGGGGCCAGCCACAGTCTGATCAACACTGCCACAGCACGAAAACTGTGACTGCCACTGGACAGATGCTTACCTGAGATTGACGCAAGACTGGTCGACGGCAAACCACTGGCGATACGGGAACGGATGGATCGAGTTCGGATTCTGAGAAAATTAGAACGAGAATGATGTGAACTATGAATGAAGTTAGTACAAATATGAAACCCTAGTTGGGTTGTACCCCCTATGGGATACCCCACTATAGCCTACACAATAGCATAAGCTATAATGTTCTGACACACCCCCATAGGCAAAGTGGGGGAGAACAAGGGGTCACAAGACCAGTCAAGCAAAGCAAAGCAAAGCTCAGGGTGGATCACAAAGTCACCACACATTCCGAGCACAAGTTCAAAGGCCAAAAGGCCAGTTCACATGCAAGAGCACATATATATATATATATATACGAGGCTAAGCAAGCAAGAGCAGAAGTATATATATGTGACAGTACAAGCAAGGTCAAGAAGTGAGCAAGTGAGGCAAGACAGGCACAAGACCCAGCTGAGTGCAGAAGCGCTGATGATCACAAGGCGCAAGTGCCTTGGTGAAAACATCAGCAGTGTTGGCCTCAGAGGCCACGTACGCAAGCCGCAACTGTCCACGCTGCTGTAGCTCACGAGCAAGAAAGTAACAGAGAGCAATGTGCTTTGTCCTGTGCTCCAGTCGCTGCTCTCGACACAAGGCCGGCATGGCCTTGTTGTCTACGTACAGGACTGGAGGAGAACGAGGCGGCTCTCCAAGGTCGGTCAGCAGGTAGGTGAGCCAGCGAAGCTCCTGGGCAGCCATAGCCCCGGCGTAGATCTCAGCCTCACAACTAGAGCCGAGAACAGAAGACGAGCGGGTAGCTCGCCACGAAACAGAGCCGGAACCAAGACTGAAGGTGTAACCCTGTGACGACCGCTGCGTAGCCTGGTCGTCAGCCCAAGAAGCGTCCGCGTGCCCAGTGAGGACCACTGGACTCCGCCCTCCAAGCACTAGCCCCATGCCCGACGTACTGCACAAGTAGCGCAACACCCTCTTCGCTGCAGCCATGTGCTCCGGTCGGTGTCTCCCAGGAGCAACATAGCGTGCAAGAATGCTAAGAGGGTATGCAAGGTCAGGTCGTGTGCAGGTCATCAGGTACATGAGGCAGCCAACAAGCTCTGGATACGGGCCACTCGACTCTACGGACTCATCCGAAGGCAGAGCTGAGAGTGAGTGGCGAGTAGGCAGAGGAGTGGCCTGAGGCGAGGAGTACGTGAAGCCGAAGCGCTGAAGGACCTGCTGCACCATGTGTGACTGAGTCAGGGTAATGATGCGGCGTGCTCTGTCCCGGGTGATCTGCAAGCCAAGGTAGCTGCGCAGTTCACCCAGGTCTGTGCACGTGTGTCGCTTCTGGAGCTTGGACTTCACGTAGGCGAGTCCAGCAGTGTCAGCTGTGGCAACGACCAAGTCGTCGACGTACACGAGGATGTAGAACGGCGGCAGAGAGGTGTCAGTGCGCAGAAACAGCGACGGGTCAGCAGTAGAAGGAGCAAACCCAAGAGCCGCAAGCGTAGTCCTCAGTGTGTCGTGCCACTCACGTGGCGCCTGGCGGAGACCGTAGACTGGACGCCGGAGACTCCACTGGGTACCAGGAGGGAAAGACCCAGTGAAGCCAGGTGGGCGGCGCAGCCAGATCTCCTCGTGCAGGCTGCCCTGCAAGAAAGCTGTGCTGAAGTCGAGAGAGTGGAGCTCGTAGTCACGGTGAGCAGCAATGTGCAGCAGTACCCGAAGAGTGGTCATCTTCGGGGTGGGGGAGAAGGTCTGAAAGTAGTCAACTCCCTGCCGCTGACTGAAGCCACGAGCCACGTAACGCGCCTTGAAGACAGGCGGAGAACCCGGCGGCCGCTTCACCCTGAAGATCCACATGCCACTGACGATGTTCGCCCCAGGAGGGGGGACAGCGTCAACGTAGGTGCCTGTGGACTTCCAGG